CTAATACAACCTTTTACAGAGTAGCTTTTAATGTTAATCAGTATCTACTTTTCACTTTAAACCCAGGAGTAAAGTTTGTAGCATTAAATGTGCTCAGCATCTTGAAAGGGGGATATTTCACTAGTAAAAATAATATGATGTGCTCATTTACCCTTATAATATTAATAACTGACCTGTTTTTTTTAAAGACAGTGGGTGATAATAAGGTATTTCAAAACATGATGTACCAGAAATGTGTATTAAAAGTTTACATAATTTATTATTTGCTTTTAAAATTTGTTATAAGCATTAATTTCACTCTTATGCAGATTGAGAAACTTTTATACAAGATCATGTATTGGAAGTTTATTACTTTTAAAAGTTTAAAAAAATACAGTTAATGGTACCTATCTGATTCTTTGTTTGATCATGTATGTGCATATTTTTATGCGATTCCTTTTGAGACCTGAAGTTCTGTAGGCAGAACAAAAAAAAGCTTATTACTGGAAAGTACAGGATAAAACGTTAAGTAATAATCTTTTATACAGTCGCCATGAAAAAACTTATATTCTGTAAACTTTTAAGAAATTCTAAAAAAAAATTAAATTTTGCTGCTAAAAATATTGAAACTTTAATTTGCAAAATACAACATGTATTTGTCAGACATTTGTGCTTTTGAATAAAATCTTACAACTCTGTACAGAAACCTTTCTCTAAACTATTGTGTAAAACATGCGAGTAATGTGAATACAAAATATGTATTGTAGCTGTGAATTGGTTAAGTAACTTTAAAATGGATTTCTAATAATTTTTTCTAGCAGTTAAATATAGCATCTTATGTAGTATTACCAATAAGATTATAGAATTTCTAAATCTACAAAAAAGTGCACATTAGTTAAAGGTACAGTAATAAACGAAGTTTGTACATAATATTATAATAATACATAATACTGTTAAACTTTAGAACGACTGAAAAAAAAACTTTTTTCTCCTGTAATGAATTCCCAATTCCAAACATCTATTATTCATATGAAAAACAAAGCAATTTCACTTGAATATATTGAAATACCTTAAATCTTTTTTATAATTACTGTAATGTACAACATTACAATATATTAGTATAGTTATTTATTGTATGATGAAATTGTAACTCAAATACACATTTACAAAATATGATTGAAGTATACTTCTTTTTGATAATTTTCTTAAATTCTGTATTTGTGTTACTACTTTCTTAAATATTTTGCTTCTGTTAGTTTGTAGGTTTTAAGATGTTGTATTTTAAAACAGGTTGGTCTTAAATTTGGAGAGGAGAAAGTACTTCCTGGTGCTTCTTCAACACTACAGCTAACAGCAAGTCCTTATTCTATCTGTGGAATTGGAGCTGTTGACAAAAGCGTTCACATATTAAGTTCAGACAATCGTATAACTGAAGAGGAGGTTTGTTTTCTTTTTGTCTGTAACCTAGCAAGTACCAAGTTCTTGAGTTGGTTTTAGTATATATTGAATTAATGAATAATTATATCATATGGATTATACATTGTTGGGGGGACATAATGAGGTATTCAAATTAACATGTACCAAAAAATGTATTATAAGTATGATTGGTATTTATTTGCTTTTCAAATAACTTGTAAGCAGTTATCTTGTGTTCACATTGAAGAAGACTTTCATGTTTGTTCACATATTTGGAAACTTGTTTATTCTTCATTTTTAAACAAATATTCTTGTTAATTTTTTTATTATCATTATAAAATAACTTTGTATCAAATTGTAAACACAAAGGGGAATCTATGTTTCTCATACTGCTTAAATGTTATGTATCACTGTTTCAAGGATTGAAAGGATAAACATTATAAGCTATGTTTAACTAATCATGTAGTAACTAATGGAAATGAAAAAATATTTAAGTTAATTATCATAATTAACCATATGTGTATTAGTGGGGGTCAACGTGTGCATGCCCTGACCTTCTATATAGTGCCATCCAACATGGTATTATGAAAGTGATGTCATAGTTAAACTTTTCATGTTACCTTACACATCTGATTTGCAACAGTTTGTGGTAGAGGAGTAAATACCAGATAAAATATACTGGGGTACTGAAAGAAACTTCAAGTATCCAGTAAGAAGGTAGTAGAGTATGCAAAGAGAATTTGCAACTTTTACAAAGAACAAAAATATCTTCAATCTTCACATGAACATCACTTTGCACTCTGACTTGCCAGAGTCATACTGGCTTCATCTTTTAAGAGACATCTTTAGACCAAAAACTTTATTAATGCATCAGTTTTAGTGTACAAAAGCCTTGTGCTGTTTACTAAAACTTTCCACATCTTGTGAAAGTACACCTTGTAAGTATGGAATTACAGTCAAAATTACTCCCCAAGTATGGAGTGACTCCATTGGACTAACCTCAATCAATAAATTGAAGGTAAACTCTTTTCTGCACCTTATTAAAAACTTTAGAAATTGTAAAATGAGAAGTTACCTGTTGGAAGATGTTGATATGAGCAACCTGCTTTGTGAGATATTTCTTGTGCATTGGCATACATCTTAAGTTCTACAGTTGTTTGAATTGGCATACCTTTTAATATTAACTCGGAATACATTGCAATTTGACACAATTTTCAATTGCGTCTAATATTTTTTTTTTTCTCTCTTTCTCTCTCTCTAGGTTTTCAACAAACTTGGAGGCCATGATTATTATTGGCCAAAACAGGCTACATCACGCTACAAGTATTGTGAGGATTACAAATTCAAACAAAGTAATATACTTGTTTATTTTGTTATGAGTATATTCAGAAAGCTTTGAAATATTTTTCTGTTAAACGTTTTATAACAATACAATTTACTCTGTAATAAGAATAAATTACAAATTCAATTTTTTTATAGCCATACTACTATTAAAATGAAATATACTTAACCAAAAACAACATAGCTCCTAATTATTCATATTTAGTTTTGGTTCAAAAAATCTTTCTTCTTACAACATCTTAATATGACATTTTGTTCTTTTGTGTGGGGGGAGGGGGATAGTTTTGTAAAGAATTGTTCATTATCATTATTTTTGAAATTGGGATGGGATATTTTTATTTTGCTGACAAGCCTTGGATACATGTATCATCATAAGAGATATGGTCTTTTGGTTAGTTATTTGTTTGAGCAAAGAAAATGCTTTTTAAATTTTTTGATAGGTGGTGTTTTTATAATATTAATATTTCTCATTGTTTTACTGTTTTATTTATCTAGCTGAAGGTGAACATGAGGGATCCTTTTCATCAGGTTTTACTTCGACTAATTATTTAGATTCCATCACTGCTTTTGATGTAAGTTTATTGTTAGTATTTTTAAAGTTTTATGTTGCATTTAAACTGCAAATTAAGTTGTTTTAAATATTGTTACATATCTGCTTGTTTGTTAATTTCTGGTATAAATTCTTTCCAAGGAACTTCAGTGATACAAGTCCCTTCTTGATTAAAACTAGTTTATTCTTTCTCGATACAACTTTGTAATACACAGACTTTCCACAGCCACTTTAAACTTAACAATCTATGTAACACGTGCTATAAATCACAGTGATTCACACACACTTTACTTACGGTGCCTACCATTTGCTTGACTCAATTATCTGTCTCTATATCTGTCTATCTGCAATTATTTGCCAGGCTTATATACTAAAATAGAGGGTGCCTGGTAAAGACAAGTTGCCAAGAAAATTCATGATCCTTCTAGAAACTCATGACATGTTACTAGTGTCACATGATTTCCGCTGTCGTAACACTGCCCCTTCCTTAGTATTGTTTGTCCCGAAGAATAG